GGCTTTTTTTTTTTTTTTTTTCCTTCTACCCGAAATTAAGAATTGCTACATTTTGTTTCCTTTTTGAGAGGGAGGGAAAAAAAAAAAAAAAAAAAAAAGAGGAAAAAGCTTAAGGATTCTGGCTTTATAGCTTCCTGTTAGTAAAAAATAACCACTGTTGGCACAGTAGCCAGCAGTGTCTCCCAGTTGCCAATATCAAAGATATGCATCATCCAGACATTTAGAAGGGTTGGAGTCTTTATGGAAAGCACCCAAATTCCTATAAAAATTTAAATTAAAAGCATTGAGTGGCTACTTGTACAGAATTTTGTAGCTTTTTTGAATGAGTATATTTGACATAAGATGTGGTAGCTTTGTTATGGTTATGCCTTTCTTGTTAAAGCCCAATAAATCCAAGTTGAATATTAAATCACAATTTGAAACTCACATACCTAAAATATTTTTGATGGTGATACTTAAGATTTTGTGCAAGAGTATAGGTACCCTGAGCATCAGGTAGACAATTCAGCTAAGTACTTCCTCTTTAGAGTGTCTTCCCTTCATGTGGAGGTTATTTAGATTCTGTTTCCTTTAAATACCTGAGCCCCTAAAAGAAGTAATACAATAACTCACACTTTACATGACACCATTCAGAATCTCAAATCACCTCATAAAGGTGAGGAGATGCCACAGAGAAGCTTCATGCATCATTTAGAAATAACACTTAAGAATGGGCAAATGTTTAAGATGCCACCTATAGAAGATACTTTATCAACAGCATCAGTGACCCTCCTGTAATTTTATATGGCACTAAATCAAATAAGTTTTGTCCAACAGACATGAAGAGCTGATCAAAGCCTTATATCAAGAAAATTAAAATCACATTTAGTAGCTGTAAAGCACTTGTCCTCAGTGTAGCCCATAACTTTTTATTAAAAAAAAAATTAAAGCTGGGGCTTGCACAGTGCTACCTCACATGCATAGTTCCAGCTGACCTTTATACAGGAAACTGGCCTTACCAAAGCAAAGATTTTAGTATTAATTAAGAATATAAGTATACCTCCTAGTATGTTTTTTTCTGAACTTAGCAATGGCATGCATCACCTGCCTCAAACATTATTTTAAGAGATCTAGCTGTGATGGGGTACTGTCAAAATTCTCTTGTGCCATTTAGGCAGAGCTGTGAGTCACTGGATCTATTTCAACACAACTAAAAACACTTTAAACCGTGTTTTTCACTCCTAGCAGTCTTCTGCCTTGGAAGCATGATTAAAGAAAGACATGTGCTTAGTGTAGAAAGGGCAGAAGTCTTCATTCCTGCACGTGCTCAGGGTCTGTGTCTCTAAATGACATTCTTAAACTTCTGAAGCTGGATTAAGTTCACTGTTCTGTAGATATAATTCAGCTGCAAATGGCACGGAAGTCATTCGCAAGCTAAGATAGTACTTCCAGAGATATTTTACAAATTCTCTTTGCAGCGTGACATGCTTAATGGATCTGTGTAGTAAGATCTTGGAAAATGCACATCTCCTCTTCAAATTCAGTAAAGATGCTTGAAAACCTGACAATTCATTTGGGCAGTTTCTTAGATTCATTCATATAAGAAATTTTTTAAAACAAAATGGCTGGAATTTTAACCCCCAGCCCTTACTTCAAAGGGGCACAGACAAGTCACTTGATGGAAAAAGGGACTTGTTTTGAGTATCTAAGATACCCTGTTTAGCTCGAGTCAATAAGCACTTGAAGATGTGCTTATTGAATGGAAGATGAAATCAGCTGATAGGTTTAAAAAATTGTTGAGTAGTTGTTTTTCTAAGTGCACTCTTTCCATTTATCAGCTACTTCATCACTGAATGCTCTTTCCCTACCCCCAGATGTAAAAGCAAGGTCTACCAAGGAAGTAGAATTAACAGAAGTAATCAATCACTTAAAGCATTTATATTCCCTGCCAAGAGCTGAGACAAGAATAATACACAACTGCAGATAGTCCAACATCCACAAGCTGCTGCCAACTTGGGATTAGCTGAAGATTTTATAATTTCTGAATGAATTGAAGTGCTCTGAGGCAGGCAGGAAGGCAGAAAATGATGCAAGGTGACAGTGACTGGTCCAGATAGAGGTTGGTGTAGCAGACCATGGTTATGACTAGGCTGTGCACCTGATCTCCGAGTGTCCTCTTCTCTTCCCCATCCCTGTGGATGGAAGCTGGGCAGTGAGCCAGGCCAGGCTGGCGTGTGTGTTGGCATCTCTGATTTGGATGACCGTGGAAAGAGGGCAGAGAGGAATGTACATAACTATTCTGCGTGCTGGATGTGGTCTAGGAGTGCTGGAGAGATGCATGGATTCCCTGTCTAGCAAAAGTGATAATCCTCCTTTCAAACAGAAGCACCTAACCCAAACCAACTGATTTTCCTGATGCAAGAGCTTTTCCTACTGCAGAAACAGTGTTCTGCTATGCAATATTGCATTGCTAGAGACTCCAGCAAAGACAAGAAAGAAATTTTTTGTCAAGAAGACAAAAAAATATGGAGAGCTCTGTTTATATGCCTTGTTCTAAACTGAAATTATACATCATATAAAATATACTATACAGGATGTACTTAATTGTTTCCCTCACTGAGTCACAAAGCAGTATTCTGAGTTAGTTGGCTGTGTGTGAGTCTCACCTGTCTTGTCATCAGCATCTTCAAACTCCACCATCACCGAGTGGCCGTTGTTGGAGATGCTGAGAGATGTACATGATTCGTAGGAGACAATAAGCGGCTTCAGATTAGGGTCATACACTGCTCTTGCAGAAACAATATCAATAGGTGACTGGCGGTTCCCTTGGGCAATAGGGTAGGATTTGTGCCACTCTGAGGGTCCTTCAAAAGAAAAGAAAGGAAAGCACCATCAGTTTCTTCCTACTATGCACAAAATAGGTTTCCATGAGGTTTGAAGTAAAGCTTGCTGAGCAAGAAGGACTTGAAAGTTTGGTATCTGAGCCATTCACTTAAATTCTAAGCTGGTGTGTTTTTATTAGCACAAACAGCCTGCAACAAGATGGGGGGAGTCAGGTATCTTGTACAAAACACTGAGGAAATCACAGCGCATCCACAGACGGCTGCGCCTTCAATTACTTGTGCCACTAATTTTCTGTGGAATTTATAATTATTATGATCTCTGAAGACCTTTGGAGGTGGGTGCTGGTGTAAACACTCTTGCATGCACACCTACACCCCCCCCAAAAGAAATTCTTCCTGAGAAAGATAGTGTAAAGCTCTGGTGATTCACATGAGATGCAGATGACTCAATCTCTTAGCTACTGACTATGCAGTTATTTTTAAAACTATTTTATGACTGCAGTAAATCTTCGAGGCAGCTTCATTCTTCACTCATGCCCATTATGGTATCTCTGTACTCCAAGTGAAGGGTACAGTGTGAAAATTTACATTTTTGGACTTCCTGACCCCAATAGAGTAGGGAGAAAGACCAATTTAATAACACAGCTCTCTGCTGCCAGAACTGGAATATTCTTAGGCTGTTTGAGATAACCTTATCTGTATCAGAGACTTACTCATCCCACTTTTTCTACTTTGGTATGGTAATGCAAGAAGCAATTAAATTCTTCTACTGCTTATGTTCAGAAAGTATTAACAGTAACAGTTTTGCTTGAAGATTTGCCAATAAGCACATTTTTAATTGCAGCATTCTCACCTACTTTCACAAGTGGAAGCTTTTTTAAATCAAGCACAGGTATTAACCCTCCTTGAATTTATGTAACAAAAACAGTGCTCTATTACACTCTTACTTGTCTGTACTTACATCCTCTGAAGAGCTAAACTTAAAAAATAATATCTTCTCTCAGCCTGCCTTTAAAACAAATTTAGGATTTAAATGCTGTTACACAAGCTTTGGCAATATAATTTGTCTCTTGGGAGGTTGGAAGAGCATACATGAGTTTATTACAACTACCTATATGCCAAACACGTAGCACCATCTCCTAGCACCAACCAGCCTCACTTAGCACCCAAACTTGCTTCTGGGCTTGTAGAAACTGAAATAATTCCTGGTAAGAGAGGGGCTGGCTCCTGGAGGTTATGCAGAAGACTCTTGCTGGACACTCAGCAGGTAAAATAACTGCTGCCAGTGGAGAGACTCCTGAAGGTTATGCAAAAGATTGTCTTGTTGGACAAGGGCAGTCACTGGGGCATCTTTTCCGCACAGGAGACAGGTGCTAGAAAGCACTGTTGTAGGAATCTTTCAGCAGCTCCACTCTGTGACACACGCTCTCGGAGGTGGGAAGCAAAGGAGGATGACTAAATTAAAAACTGTCAAACCAGAAAGCATAAGTTGTTCTGTAAGAGATCCCTGATACTGATCTGTACAATTTATTGACATTCTAGAAATACATAACATACACCTTATTTTATTCCCTCTGTGGAAGCCCAGATATCGCATTTCAACAGCTGCACAGGAGCAGAAGATCTATTGCTGCTCTACTAAATCTTCTTTACTTAAAAGAATTGCTTTTGGAGAGAGAGACACAGTTAATCCTTTTCATAACAGCTTTTTGGAAAGGGACCCATCTGTAATATCTGCAGACTGAAAAAAAAAAACCACTCAGTGCTGCTTCCCTCAGTTTTGGGGCATCGATCCCAACAGCGAAAGGCAGGAGGCATAAGTTTAGGCATCTTTGGGTGCTGCTTTCTGGGTGCTATTTATTATCAATGAAGTAAGTAATTAGCTGCTGGCTGGTGGCAGACATGGAAATGCAGGCAGCCCTGCAGAGCTCAGGCACGGGTTCTAGAGAGAAAGCAACGGGGGGAAGGCAGAGCTGCCGGTACCTACCGTCATCCCGGCCGTAGCCCCAGCTGCGGTGGCCGGTCATCCCGGGGCTGCCCCTGCGCGGCTCCGGCTCCCGCTCCCGGCTCGGGTGCCGCCGCTTTACCTGCCTTTATAGCGGCTCTCCCCGGGGCAGGATCGGCCCCTTAAAGACACAGAGCAGCCACGGACGGGTCCCGCAGGACCCTGCTCCCGCCTTCCCCGCTCCTGCTCCCAACTTTCCTGCTCCCGACTTTCCTGGTCCTGCCCCCTCTGTTTGCTAACACGAGAAGAAAAACGTGAAACTGAAGTGACTGAAGTCCCAGGACTCAGAGAGGCACCGAGACCGTCTACGCGGCACGAGCATCAAATTGAGGGAAAAGTAGTAGTATTTTCCCGTCATCGGGGCGTGCAGATTGTAACAGAACTGCCCTTCTCGCCTTTATGCCCTGCAGGGGGAAACATCACCTACTTACTGCCTCGCTTTTCACAAACGCTCTCTCCAGCAGCAAAAAATGATGTTTCCACCTGATTTCTAATTAAGACTTCGGAATCCATGCTTAGGTGAGGAGGAGAACCTTCTCATCTCAGAAAAAAATTTCTTGAGCTACTTTTAAACAAGGTAAAAATCACACCAATTAAGGCTCAATTGGCAATCTGGGGTTTGCTTTGATTTGTTTTGTTTTCTTCCTTTGTAACTCTAAAGATACTTTTTAAAAAGACAAAAATAACCGTATAGTTCTATGAGGGAACAGGACACAGCAGAGTAAAGGAAGGAGCTGCTCTGGGAAGCCTCAGCTACCTGGTATGGTCCAGTGGTTGCCAACACTCTGCTAAACCCCTGAAGAGGCTACAATGAGATACCAAATCCGCAGCTGGAAAATACCTTAAGATGTCTTTGTGGCAAGAAAAATGGCTCCTCGGTAGTAATTTTGTTAGGTCTGAGGAAATGCTGTCTGTCAAGGCTATATTTTATAGATGTATTGATTTTCACAAAGGCAACAGCCCAGAAATAGGGATTCTCCTATTATGCAATCAAGAAAATGGAAGGGAAAAAATCAATGAAAGCATTTTATGCAACTTTTATATTGTGGTACTGCCTTGTAAGGATTAATTTCCTTTTAAAAGTTGTGCTGCTTTGGTGAAGTTGTGATGCTGTGGTGCTTATTCTGGTGTGGCCGTGTGCTGTGTTTGTAGGCAGGGGAGCCAGGTGGAGACAGTCAGCCAGATGTAAACCGTCAGGAAAGCTGTTCTAGACCGGGGGGGAAAGTACAAAAAGCCCCAACTTCGGAGCAAAAAGAAGAACTAGAAGAATTTTGTATATTAAAAAAGCAGACTAGATTGGGGAAAACTGCATGCGAGATAGAGAACATGAAAAATTGTTTTCAAGAGAAACTTAAACACTGAGGCTCAGATATTGCTCGCTGGGCGCAGTGCCTGGCATTTGACAGCATTCACCACTGCAGCTTTTATCTGCTCACATGCAGAACACATGGGTGTCTACATACATAGTCTACAAAGGCAGAGCCTAGGAGGACCTCTGAGATGAGGGAGAACCTGCTGAAGGTGTGTGGCAGGAAGTGGGCTCCACAAAATGGAGGTTAAAATACTTGGATTTAGGAAAAGTGAAAAAGGGGAGTGCCAGGGTCTGTGCTCACAGGGTGGATTTCTCCAGTGCTGGCAATTATCTCTGCTGAGCATCTTTAATGACGGCAACACACATTTCAGTGAGGCATTGTGTGCATGTTTATTGAAAGCATAGGAGTGTGTGTGATGTGTCACTGCCCATTAACAAAAATGTGGCAGAAATACAGTGAGTTTGGGAACAGGCTGCTCCCTGGAGAGCCTTTGAAGTATGATAGGTAGGAACTGGCTGAACGTTAAAACATTCATCACCCCAGCGCTCGCGGCACCTTGGGTTCTTGCGAGAGTATCTTGTTTATCCCGCAGCTCATCTCCCCTCTTACATTGCTGTTACTAATGCTGGCGCTTTCCAACAGCACTGACACTGAGCTGACATCTCTTCTGTGTGTGCGCCTGAAAATCATCTGTACGAATCCAGAAACTGCACAAAAACACTTGGCAAGGTGAACACAAACAGGAGGGGGTACTGCCAACACTAAACATTAAAAAGAAGAATCATTCCAGAGGTCTTTTTTAAATTTTTTAGTATTTTATTTATGAAATGACTACCTAAACTTGTCGATTGACAATAGAAATTTCACATTTTTTAATTCTCAGGTGTTTCTTTGCAAACACAGAAACGCTGTGACTGTATATGGAGATTCTGGTGCAGCCAGTAAAAGCGGTAATCCTTCTCCCTTCTATGATTCTACGATTCTACTTTGAGGGTGGCAGAGCCCTGGAAGAGGCTTCTATCTCTCTGATGGTGGAGTCTCCATCTCTGGAGACATTCAAACCCTGCCTGGACACGTTCCTGTGCAACCTGCTCTGGGTGGACCTGCTTTGGCAGGGGGTTGGACTGGATGATCACAGAATCACAGAATGGTTAGAGTTGGAAGGGACCTTAGAGATCATAGAGTTCCATGGGACATGGACACCTCCCACCAGCCCAGGTTGCTCCAAGCCTCATCCAGCCTGGCCTTGAACCCCTCCAGGGATGGGACAGTCACAGCTTCTCTGGGCAACCTGTTTCAGTGTCTCACTGCCCTCACAGCAAAGAATTTCTTCCTAATATCCCCTCTTCCAATTTAAAACCATACCCCCTTGTCCTGTCACTACACTCCCTGACAAAGAGTCCCTCCCCAGCTCTCCTGTAGCCCCTTCGGGTACTGGAAGGCTGCTATGAGGTCTCCCTGGAGCCTTCTCTTCTCCAGGCTGAACATCCAAGCTGGAGGGGAAAAGCTTTAGACTGGAGATGAGGAGAGGGTTCTTCACTGGGAGGGTGGTGGAGCACTGGAACAGGTTGCCCAGGGAGGTGGTTGAGGCCCCATCCCTGGAGATGTTCAAGGAGAGGCTCACATGGCGCAGCCCGGCAGGGTCAGCCTGAAGGAGCAGCGTTATGACCGGCAGCTCAGGTACCGTCCCCGGGGGTTCACCTACCGGTCTCCTGTTTGTCCCGGGCTGGGTTTCCCCTCCCCTTTCATCCCGAGGCGGCGGGTGCCGGGTCTGGCCCAGCCGGTGAGGGGATGTTCAAGGAGAGGCTCAACGAGCCCCTGGGCAACCTGGTCTAGGACATTCCCTGGGGTGGCGCGGAGGGAGGATTTACAGCGACGGGGGGTGAAAAAATGAACTGCAGAGACCGTAAATCCCCAAATCCCCAGGTTTTTCTTGCTCCCCCGGCGGCGCATGCGCGTGGGCGGGGGCCGCGAGAGGCTCCGCCCCACCGTCCCCGGGGGTTCACCTACCGGTCTCCTGTTTGTCCCGGGCTGGGTTTCCCCTCCCCTTTCATCCCGAGGCGGCGGGTGCCGGGTCTGGCCCAGCCGGTGAGGGGAGGCCCGGCCGCGGTGGGCCCGGAGGCGGGTTGGTGGCCGTGCCCGCGGACGGATGAGGCACCGGGGAGCAACGAGGGTCGGGTGGGTGGCTGGAACCCGTTCTGAGGTGACAGTCTGAGCTACGGTTCTTCAGTAGCTTCATTTTCTGCCCCTAAAGAGGGTGAAATTGGTGTCGGTGTGAAATCGGAGGGGTCGGGTGGGTGGCTGGTCTGAGGTGACAGTCTGAGCTACGGTTCTTCAGTAATTTCATTTTCTGTCCCTGAAAAGGGTGAAATTGGTGTCGGTGTGAAATCGGAGGGGCGTTTGTCACCGCTGCCGGCTCCCCATGTCAGCCTCCACATTATTATCTAGGTGTCTTAAATACTTACCAAGCTCATCAAGAGCGATTTCCCCTCTGCTTGTGCCTTTCAGTGTATTATGTTATAAATTATTAAGCACATAAAAATGTATTATTTGTAATAAAACTTACAAAAAAGCGAGCATTCAGCTTTGGGACAAAATTTGCTCCTGAGGGTGTTTTGACCCGTGCTGATTTTTAAAAAGTTAAGCTTGTGTTTAAGAAGGTGTGTGCATTCTGATGGAGTGGGGTGTAAAAATGGAGAAAATGAAATGTCAGTAAAATCAGGTTGTTCTTTAGATTTCAAATTTGCCACAATAAGCTTTCATAATAGTTTTGTCATCGTAAGTTTTCCAAAGGAGCATTTATTTGGGTTCGTGCTGTTCAGCCCCTCTCAGCAGTGAATGGGAAGTAGGATGCTTTACTGGGAGAGTATATGGGAAGTAGGTTGTTTAAATTGTTTTCATTTCTTTCTGGGGGCTGTACAATCTGAAAGGAGATAATTGGAGAATGTTTCTGCCCCAATACAGGTTGTGGGGTGACCACGGACAAGAAGCTTTAGAATCTGCCCATGTTTGTGTGATAAATGCAACAGCAACGGGAACTGAAATACTCAAAAACTTAGTGCTGCCAGGTAAGCAGAGGTCTTTTCTGTATTGCCTTTGCAATGTATCTGATAATTTTATAATGCCCAGTTATTCATAGTTCTTTAATTTTTTGTCCCCCCAAGGTATTGGTTCATTTACAATTGTCGATGGGAACCTGGTCACTGGAGAAGATGTTGGAAATAAGTAGGTTTGTTTCCTGTACAAGTTGTGAAGTATCAGGGTTTCATATATAGTTCCTTTTCTATATTTGTTAAGAAATCCTATAAAATTCTTAATAATTTCAAAAGCCTCTGCAAGTGTTTTGTGGTTTTGGATGTTTGTGACATACAGCACGCATGATCATTTTGATCTTAACTGCTGAATTTTATGTAGTTTTTGTAGTTGCTGGTTTTGCATCTTCCAGGTCTGTTTGCTTCACTAGTCAAGTTTATAGACTGTGGTCTGCTCAGTATAAAGATGTTTAAAAAGAACTTGCTTGCTGTAATCTTGAGATATGACAATGAAAGATTTGCTTGCGTTTCCACATGGCTAATTGTATTCTATAGTTTTGGTGATGTAAATAACTCACTTATTTACATTAGTCATTAGTTTATCATTGTGAACCTGTGACCAATAGCCGTTAACTAGCTTGGAAAGGCTGTGTGCAGCAGGGGATGTGAAGCTCCTTACAAGTCCTGTAAAAAATAATTTGTTTACTAATTTTAAATAATTCTCTTATGGTTTAGGTAGATACTTACAAGTATCTGTCTACT